TTGAAAACCAGGAGAATTCAAGACTGATCTTGGTGCTGGAGGGATTTCAGCTGCAGATGTGTTACAAGAAATTGTAGTGGGCTGCAGCTATATACAGAAGTTACTTTTAAAGTCAGCGATCAAGGATTCAAGGCAAAAGGGAGCTTCTGTGCTCCATCAAGCAGAAAAAGAGAACAGAGTAATTTCCAAACTTTAAATGGGGTAAAGTAGGAGAATAATCATAGTAATAATAATAATAAAAAGGAGTGACTAATAGTGGTTCAGAGCAGTGAAATCTGGTAGAAAGGGAATGGAGAACTAAAGACAGTTTCTTAAGATTTCTATGCTTGTATTACACTGACATGGAATGTCCCAAGTGATGTTGCAAGAAGAAATTTGATGTTTTAAGGAACTTCAGACCAACACTAAGAAGGCCTGGCTGAGGGCCTAAAAAATATATTAGTGAGGGAAGATGCATAGGAGAAATCATAATACTAATTCTGCAATTGCTGTACTGGGCTTCCCACAGGTCAGCTGTGTGTAGTCCTTGGCTGCTCTGACCACAGAGTGTTTACAGCATTATGCTAAAAAAGGGGTGGTCTACCACAATATATATCTATTTAATAAGTATTAATTTCCTAGGGAAATTCTGCTTTGCATTTCCAGTAGCTGTCTTGCTCTTACACCTAAGGATGGTATTTTATCTCCATTTTCTATAAGGACGGTAATTTAATTTTTGAGCCAGATCCATATTGCCTTTAATCTCTGTATCAGTTCTCATTGTGGTCTGCATTTCCATTTCTTTTATGTGGCTGAAAAGTTTTTTGCTATTTTTTCTCATTATTGTTGCAGAATCATGCTCATTTTGCAATAATTTTATTTCCAAAGGAAACTCCTTTTGACCTCTGAGATGCATTTACCAATTCTCTTTTTCCCTTTCCTTAAAGTCTTTCCATACTGGACAAATAAGGAACACAAAAAAACAATGGAATCACCAAGACTGAGGTTCAGAAGGATCCCTCAGAGAGATCCTGGGAGGGATGTGAATGTCAAAGAACAGCATGACAAGCCACAAAAATCACAGATAAATTTCTTTTGATATTCTTTCACTATTAGAAATTAACTGTCATGAAGAGAAGAGGAAATCAACAGAGAGAAAAAATTATTTATTTGAAATGGGGGAAAAGGGAATATGTCACACTTCCCCTTTCAGTCTTTTTCAAGGCAAAATTGAAGTCAAGGTCTATTCAGTTCAAACTCTGAAATTTAAGCTTATCATCACAGAAACGCAGAAAAGGTAAGGTTGAAAGGGACCGCAGTGGGTCATCTGGTCCAACTTCCCTATTGAAGCAGGGCCATGCTAGACTAAATGGCACAGGATTATGTCCAGATGTCCAGATCTCCAGCGACCCCACAACCTCTCTGGGCAATCTGTTCCAGTTCACAATCACCAGCACAGTAAAGAAGCTCTTTCCCATATTCAGATGGAATTTCCTGTACATCAGTTTCTGCCCATTGCCTCTTGTCCTATTGCTTGGCACCACCATGAAGAGCCTGGCTCTATCCTCCATCCTCTTCCTTAAGCCACTTCTGTGCTGATGAGGTCCCCTCTCAGTCTGCTCTTTCTGAGGCTGTGAGCAGGCCCAGCTCCCTCAGCCTTTCCCTGTAATAGGCATGCTCCAGTCCCCTGACCACATTTGTCACCCTTCAGAATGGACACAGCACTCCAGATGGGGCCTCACCAGGACTGAGTAGAGGAGCAGGATTGCCTACCTCAACCTGACAGCACTGCTCTTCCTAATACCCCTCAGGATGCCATTCTTGTCCTCCAGAGCACACTGCTGGCTAATGGACAGTTTGTTTTTCACCAGAACCCCCAGGCCCTTCTCTACAGAGCTGCTTTCCAGCAGTCAAGCCCCTACCTGTACAGCTGCATGGGGTTTGTATTACAGGAAAAGAAAGAAATTGCAAAATTCAAAACATTCCAATTAAGAAAAAATTGTTCTCCCTAGGGTTTTTGGCTTCGTACAGTACCCGTGTTTTGAACTTTTCCCTCATTTTCTATGCCTCCTGTCACTGGTTCCAGACACTATGCCTCTACTTTCTTCTAGCTGGGGGGAGAAAATAGAAAATAAAGAGGGTGGTAAATGTGATGACAAGATTTCTTTAATGCACTGTTTTTCTCTCACAGAATATTTTCTGTTATTGTACCAAATAGCAGGAATCTAAGTTTTAAGACAGATGCCAGAAAAAAAAAAAAAAAAAGAAAATTGAAATGATTGTTTTTTATCAATCCTTGAGAAAAATGTGGTAATTGAAAAAAAACCCCAAACCTAGCAGACTAAACAGTGCTCATACTTGATGGCCTTATTTTTGTGGAAGAGTCTCTTATATTGTCTTAATGATATCTGCTGGAATTGAAACAACAGTGTCTACACAAGGGACTTACCCCATCTAATTGCATCAATTGAAAGTGATTCAATTTTTTTGGCAGAGACAAGCATAGGGAGATGGAAAAAATAAATGGCTATTTTTTATAGTGAAATAAAGGAGAGAAAGCAGAGCAAACAACTTATGGCCCTGAAATGCCATATTTTTATATCTTGGAAACCATGACCAAAAGATGCTAATTTGCTTCAACTCACTCACTGTGAGGGCTCCCTTTGATCCTCCTGCCTTTCTTAGAGTGTGATATTCTCACATTTTAATGTAGTATCATTTAACATTGAGATATAGGGAAATTTGTCCAGTAAACAGCTTTCTTGCACTGACTTGGAGCTTGTGGGAAATATTATAGCACAAGCTGGTGCCTGCCACAAGAGAAATGGATTATTACTCTGGGAACACTTACATCAAGGAGGGCCCTTTTACAGCTGAAAGAGGCAACCTTTTACAAAGAGCTGTGTTCTGTGAACTCCTTGTCAGCTTGCTGAAAGTGCTAACTCACAGCATACAGGTCATTCCTTCCCAGAAACATGGGAAAAAAGCTTTAGCGTGCTGTTTGTGACTTATTCTCCTTGAGTGTAAAGATGTTTTCTACAAAATGACACCCCATCAAAGAAAAAAAAGTAAAAATCAGATTTAATGAGACAGAGGGTTTAGGGACGATGGAAAAAAGGGGTGTTTTAAAAGACTATCAATGCTACACACATAACAGCATAAGCTTTCAACAAACCAGCCTGTGTAATTTGGATAAAATGGGAATGATGGTATTTTCTAGACAAAATCCAGTTCTGATAAAACTGAGATCTGGATAAAAACGGCTCCCTGAATTTCACCCCCCCGAAATCCTGCTTTACTTCCAATCAGTTCAGTGTTATGATTAAATTAAAAGCCTCACAAGGGAACATTTTTAATTTTATTTCTGAAAGACCGTTTTTTTTTTTTTTAAGTCAAAGAGAACTATAGAATAAATTATTACAAGGACATTAAAAGGATTTCATTTCCTTGAGCATACGTATGCATTCTGCTGCTGCATGTCCTCTCCCTCCCAGTGTAGCCATTGATCCACAGCTTTTATAATGAACTCTAATAACAACTCTATTACTGCAAGGCTCCCGATTGGCTCAGGCACCCACAAAATTAGCTACAAAGAAGCCAGCTTGTCAATATTAATTCCGCCACAGAGATTACTTGTTATGGTAGAACAAAGGTGTTTTGGCTCGAGCTGAACAACTTAACTCCTTGTCTCATAAAATTTAAGCTGCTATTGATCTCCTTCTTCTATTGTGCTGGAGGATTAAAAAAAAACCAGGGGCGCGCGCACGCAGACACGCAGAGAGACACCGGCGTGCTGAATCACTCCAATGCATTCTCCTAAACCACCAGCCACCCCCTCGCTTCCTTCCCTTCTTCCCTTCCCCTTCCATCCCCTCCCTGTCTGCTAAGAATCATTCAGTAACATGAAGCAAATTAAATCAATGAATTCATCCTAGCAGATGGGTGCTTTAACAGTCAGTTAGCCTTTAGATAATTGAGGCGTTGACTCCGGAATCATAAAATGGATGGCTCGTTTGTACATTTTACTGAAATAGATCACTGAGGTTAAATAAATGAAATCCCATTTGTCAGGCGGTAATAAATGGCCTCCCCTTCTGCAAACAGCTCTGTTTGGCCTAATAAATACAGGGATGTTACAGTGCTCCTCCCTTGATAGGGTTATGGCTTAATGAAATGGTCTTTCCTCTGCTTGTTTTTGCCTCCTCCTGCACCGTGTGATAAGTAGCGAACCAACGAAGCTTGTAATTACAATCTTACAGAGAACCCAGCCAATCTGTATATAAATCTCACCATCCAATTACAAGATGTAATAATTTTGCAGTCAAGCTGGTAATGAGGTCTAATACTCATGCATGTGATAATCCCCCCTGGATGCTGACTCTATCAGATGTTAGCTTTGTAATTATACTGGCAGAAAATCATTATTTCATGTTCAGCAGAAAAATGAGGTTGGTGGGAAGTTAATTTTCTCTATGCTCTGTGAAGCATAGACAAAATTTTAATGATTTAATCATTATGGTTATCCCTTTTGCAATTGACCCACGTTACTTCTGTAGAAACATTGGCACATTTAAAAGTCCCTGTTACCCGATAAAGCTTGCCAGGTATGCAGCTTTTAATGTAAGAATAACCGTATACAATTAAACTATTAACCTGCTTGATAGGGGAAAAATCCATAGTTTTTATGTTTTCATTATTTACACACAGGATCCAAAGGAATGTTTATGTCCAGTCTGCACTGCGATAAAAAAGGCTCTTAAATAAAGAAAAAAGAAAAATACTATAATTAGGATGTAAGCTCTCAGAACAAAACAGCAGGTTCACAGTGGTATTTTAGCAGCTCAGTAATCTTTTGTTCCTTTTCAGTGTAGGAAGCATTCTTGAGACCTTATACTTCTACACAAAGAGCTTGTTATGCATAATCAGCATTTTCATAAGAACTAGTTTAAATGAATTGCTTGTGATACATATAATTGTTCTTTTCTGCTCTCAAAATTTTCTTCTTGTTTCTGTTTGTCCAGCCTGCCAGGAGGAGGATGCAGAATAGGATGGAAATCATAACACTGAGATGGAAGAGTGAGAAAAAAAACCAGCAGCACAAAATTGAAACTACAGGCAAGTAGGTAGGCAGGGCAAAATACCAAAACATATTGAAAATTGCAACTAGGATATTTAAGGATAAATTACTTTAAAAATTCAGCTTAATGAAAATGTCATAAAATTCTTTTGTGGTAAGATTTCAACTAAAGGTGTGAAGGTCTACGTCCAAATAGTACTTTAACACCCCAGTGTCAAAGATTTGTGTGCTTAATTCTTCTATTTCTAACTTTGATTTTGTGCCCATTATGTTTCTTTATTGACTTACTTCACATATATGTGGATATATCTATGTCTGTGCATGTGTATTTAAATATTTATGTGTATACATGCTGTTTCTCTAAAACATACATTATAAAAAGGTTGACTGAATTTTATCTTCTGGAAATGTTTTATGTTTTCTTTAGAACGAGCAGCAGGATTAAGACCTGTGCAGTACTTCAGTTGATGACTTTCATCTCAGCTTGATCTGGTATGCTGGAAAGCTTACCACAGCAGAACCCAATTAATATATGAAGTATGTAAAAGATAATCTCACATTTGATTCCTGTTAGACTTAGAAGATAGACACAACTGTTGTCTCAAGAACAAAGCAGTCATGAATACTGTCCAGAGCATGATCTGCAGGTGGGCACCTCTTCTGAACCCTTGGGATGTGGCTGATTCCTCTTCACTTCAGATTTGTCCTTCCAGGCCTGGAATCCCTTTACAGCCAGTAAACACTTCATGGGTGCCCTTCTCTGACCCAACTGAGGCATCTACCTTCTGAGAAAGTGATCTCTATCCCAGAAATGCCTTTTCATCCACTGGCTATAAAAAATAACAAATGCATAGTTCAGATGTTGATACCTACTTTGTAGGCCTCAAAGATTAGTTGAAATAAATTCTACCCCTACCTTCTTTGTGGATCGAACTCAAAATAGCTCTGGAGAAGGCCTGGGGTCTATTATGTATTATGTATTAAATTCCTAATCTAGTGATACAAAAAAAGGCAACTTGACAGACACGAATCCTGATCTAATTATGGTTCTCAGCCTTAAAAAAGGATTATTTTTTAATGAGTCCTGTAACTCAAAGCACATATATATTTAGACAATTTATCAAAGGTCTTAAGAAGAAAATCCTGACATTGCTTATAGTGGTTCTACTGGTACTCCATATGTTTTATTCTTGCAGAAGAAGCAGGATGGCGATGAGGAATGTGCATGACCTAAAATTAATTAGGTTATTAAGAAACAGTGAAGACTAAGAGACTTGAAGAAGGACGTAATACAGTAGCCAAATGGGCCATCCTTTGCTGGCAAACCTATTATGTCTAATATCTGTTGGATGAAGTAATTTGAAATACTTAATGCCTTACTAGATAAAAAATAAATTGTTCTGAGTTGGTAGAAAGATGACAATATTAATATAAATAGTTGGGTCCAAAGTAATAAAAAATGCAAAAAACCTCAGAAGAATATGGAAAATAAAATATGAAATGCCATTTATGACTTTTTTTTCTAGAATAATGCATTCCTTCCACCCATGTCAGTCAGGGTTGCCTTTTGTAATTTTACAAATTTTATTGTGAGTTTGACATGTTTGTGGAGAAGGGTTGGGTTTAGATGTATTCTTGAAGTCACAGTTTTGGGTAACATTCCTGCATTTCCTTTAAAAGAGAAGAGAGAGAATTCTATAAATTTGTTCCATAAACTTTAGCTTGGTGTCCCTGGGAAAGTACATAAAGCATAAAATGGAGTGTGCACAATTGATACAATTGGCTCTTCTGTCTGAAATGTATTTTTACTCTTGCATACATACTTTTGCAAAACTGTGAGACATGGAGATAAACCTGGTTTTCTGAACCTATGTCATGAGATCTTAACTCTTCATTTAGCTAACTGGATATTTTTCTCACTAAGGCAGAACTAGGATTAAAAGCCAAGTGAATTTTACTGCTGGCTAGAGAATAACTGGACAAGACTGTATTTCTGTACCATAAATTAGGCTAAAGACTGCAGGCAGAGGCTGGGAACTCTTTGGTTAAAACATTGGATTTGAATCCAGTAGAATACTTCAGGTGTTTTGTGAATATGGCCATCTTCTAGATAGCTTAATTATACTTCCCTCATTTTCCACACAAAGTATTTAGAACATGAGTTTGTCTTAACAAAACTAAGTAAATATTTGCTATGTTGTAAGAAGCCAAAAAATATAATGCAGCTTCTCAAAAAATATAATGCAGCTTCACCCAACTTCAAAAAATATTTCTATCTCAATCTCTCTGAAAAGAACAGAGGAATTGTACAGGTAATGGCTATATAGAAAAGGATGCACGTTTGTCCTTTTGACAGAGCCTGCAGTAATGGTTGTTCTGTGGTTCAACCACTAGATCTCTTTGAGCTTTCTGATGCTTCTTATGGTGCCTCATGGCATAGAGAGATGTGTCTGGGAGAATCCCAATTCCTCAGGTTATGCATGCCAGTAGGTACGTGAGCTGTATAGAAATTTGGGAGCTAGTTTGTTGATTTAGAGGTACTTCATTGAGGGAGAGCAAACCTAGACAAACAATGGGCCATGACTGAGTCCTAGGATGTAAGTAAATAAACAGGTGAAGAGGTTGTCCCCTTCTTAGTTACTCTTAGCACAGTGTCTGCCTGCATTCCCTAACAGTGACTCATACTTGGCCCTATTTGACAGTTCTGGCATTTACCTTGAGCTCTATAATCCCCAGAATGTCAGCTATTTGGGATCCTTGAGCCAAAGAGCCTCTTCTGTTTCCAGTCATACTCATCTCCTATTTCAGTATGGGATTTACATTCAAAGTAAGATTCAAAGTGGAGTGCAAGTCAATAAGACTGCACACCCACCTTGCAGCAGGAGCAGTGTCTGTGGCTTCTCTGGGGACTTTGTCTGAACATCGACCTTGGCTGTGTTTTAGGACTGTCCTGTTCTGGGACCTCACTTCAGCCAAGTTTCCACCTCTGTGGAAATATAGAAAAATGGCATACAAAGTTCTGAAACTCTCTGTGAAGCAGCCTTTGGTTTTTGTATGGGTTTACAGGACATCAGCATAACTCTATTTGAGCAATGTTAGGATTATGTGTTCCACTGAATAAATCCAATCCTTAAAAGAATTTCTGGGTTCAGCCATGATTCTGTCAGGCAATTTTTGACAATTGAACCCATTAGAATGAAGATAAAACGTTCAGTGTCCTTTTGAGATTTGAGATGTCACCAAAGTTCATATGAAGGGGTTAATTTATTAAAAGGCACTGGCTCTTAGTTGCTAGGTAACATTGACCTTTTCCAAAAGGCTGTACTGCTCCAAGGAGGGTGTTTGGTGGAAGTAATGATTCTGTGTGGGGTTTACTCAATGAGTTGGTGGTAACCTATCCTGCAGGGAAGTTGAGAGGATGTAGTGTTGGAAAAAGCTCTTATCTTCCAGCTGTTCTCTTCCATTCATATTTCTCTCTTCAGAAAACAAAACAAATCAAACAAACCCCAACGAACCAACAAATAAAGAGGTAAACCACAGTTTTTTTAATTTGCCTGTGAAACCAGGCAAGAAGTCCCCTGCAGACTGGGCACTCAAATTGGGACTATTTTGTGCCTGTGCCTAAAAGAAGTCCCAAAGTAATGGGAATGAAGCCCTCTCTTCTGAGTAGTGAAAAAAGAAAAAGAAATTTGCCTGTTTCCAAGGTGTTTATTGAAATGTCTGTTCTTTAGAATGAAAAAGAAGTTAAATTTATTTTTAAGTAAGGTTTATTTTTGTCTCAGGTTATATGTCAGCATTTATCTTCTAAATTAGGATCACTGCTTAGAGTTATTTCTTCTTATATGTTTTGTTGTATTTTTAAAGAGATAAGGAAAAAAAGATTGAAAATCCACATGCACACCCAAATGATTTGTAAGTTGATGAGAACAACCTAATGAGGAGTGTATTTAGTTCTGTGACTAAAACATTACAATTGTGTGGGGTTTTTTTAAATAAACATTTTCTAATGGTAAAAATAGATGCATAGACTTCATCCTTATGGGCCAGGGTAACTTACATGACAACTTGTTAAATCGATTTTATGCTTCTTTTAGATCTGCTATTCAATTTTTTAAAGTGCAGATACCATGGCAACCCCCTCTCTCATATGGAACGTATGCTGCTTTAGAGATAAAGAGCAAGTACATGCAAAGATGGAACAGGATGACATGTAAACTTTTTTTTTAAATATTCACACTTTGGATGAAAAAATATGCTACACAGACACATTTCCTCTCAGCTGCAGTATATTTTATGAAAGAATCACATTTTGTACAATGTAAATAATCAGGTTTTAGATATTTTCAGAAATAATATAGAAGCACCCTATGCTTTTCTGATGTGTATGTTTATGTGTGTGTATATATGCATATATAAATAGCCAAACAGTTATTCATATCTCTACATTTGTTTTAGTCTATAATGACCCCTTAAAGACTGACATTAACATCTTTATTTTTATGGATTTTCCTACTGTTCCTTAATGCTGAGACAGTAACACAGTGGTTTTGGTTTTGTTTTGATTTTATGAAGGAGCTGCATAGCTGCTACAACTAATTATTTTTGAAAAGAAAAGGAAAAACAGAGCTGAAGTATCAGTTTTGAGAAAAAGCAGGAGGACCTATGTGTACTTGGCTATCTCAGCAGTTATTTACATTGTCTGGATCAGAATTTTCAAAAGCATGATAGTATATTGGATTTCTCAATTATCTTTTTTTAATAATTGACTTCAGGGCAATCTGCAGGGGCACAGGATTTTTGAAAATCCAATCTCTTACTTGAGTTGCTTTAGCAAGAGTTCGATTTAGGTTGTAATATATTGTTTACACCCAAAACAAGACAACTGATCAAGGAAATTGCCATTTCTCACCTTGAACACACTATTTCTTCCTGTATTCCATGCCTTGGTTAGAGACAGGATATACTTGAAATTTCATCATCTTGCTTGTTTTCTTTTGTATTTAAGCCTGGTATTGTGATTAAAAACAGACCTGAACTATTAGTAATGTTTCTACCAATACAAGCTGAGCACTCATTTCAGGTTCCTGAATGAGTTAAAGAAAGGAAAAAAAAAATTTTTTCAGGATTTAAAAGCACGTTATTTAATGTGAAACCTATGTTGTTCTGAACATCAGTTTTGCCATTCCCACCCACAAACCCCAACAAATTACTCTCTTATGTGATCTTGTTGTTGATCATAGAGATGACTTCCACATGCTTAGAGCAGTGGAGGAAGGAAGGGTGTCGGGTCTATATTCCAGCTTAAACATCGTTAATACTGGGATTTGAGTGTCTCTTAATATGAAGTTTCTAAATCAAGCAAACAGCCATGCATCATCTCCCTCATGTTTTCCTGCGTTTCTGACACATGCACTACTGTTTGGCTGGCTGTTTTCTGGTCACCTTTTTCGCTTCTTGGTGTTGTGTTTTGCCAGCTTACATTTCTTTTTGAAAGATTTAAGAGGTTTGAAAGTTTAATTTGATTTTGATCAGATTGCACAAGTCCCTAACTAGTTTATCAAATGTGCTTGTAGCTGCAAATCTCACAAGGAAAGACTCTCATAAGATACTGTCGACAAATAGTAGAAGGAAATTGCTACAAACAATAAATGGAAGTTATAGGCTTTTTTTCACACCTTTCTGCTGGCAGTGTCTGAAACAATTCCCATTTAAAATAGGGAATCCCATTGATGGTGTTAGGACGTTTGCCAGACCTCCAGACATCAGAGGAATTCACGGTGGAAACTCCAAAAATCATGAAAATTGCTATTAAAAAATTAATTCTGCATCTTTGAATTATAAATAAATCTCTGTTCATGTTTAGGGGGATTGAATGCTGCAGCTTATGTTCGCAATGGTTTTCCTTTGTTGAAATCAATTTGCCTTTACCAACCATTTGTGCTTTAACAAGAAAGTAATGTGATGGTGAGAAAAAGCATGGCATATTGGGATGTTCCTCTGAGTGCTATTCCCTGAGGCAGCTGCTGGAGAGTATTGAAGGGAGGCTAAATCAACATTGCCTCCTTTTTTTTTTTTTTTTCCCAGAGACCAAATGTGTAACCTCTGTGATGCAAATTATATTTAACCAGCTCTGGGGACTGAATGTGGGTTGGTGCTTTGGTGAGCTTGTGTCTCTCTATTTGGTCACAGAACAGTATGTCTCTATGTTACAAGGCCAACTGTGATACACATTTGTATATAAATAAAGCAGTAAGTTTGTTTTAAAATTATTAATGACAGATCTTCATTAATTTCTTCATTATTTCTGTTCTGTTGTTATGAATAGAGTACTTTCATAGTGAGTAGCACTTTTGAAAACCAAGATAGCTGCAAGGAATATTACCCAACTTGATCTAAACAATGCAAATTAAAGGGTTAACTTCAGTCAAAATGCATTCATTGCAATACACTGCAAACAAACACATTCATTAATGTAGAGAGTGTATCTTGTACCTTCCTAGCTCTGAGTTCATCACTGGCTAGAAATATTAATAAGTACACTTTACAAATACTTTCAAATAATGATACCTTCAGGACAATAAATGATTTACAAAAAAATGAAGGTCTCTAAGGTCTTTTTGGCAGGTATCTGCAATTATTATGAAGTGAATTTTATAATTCAGTTATTAGGAGTGCTAAATAGACTGTGAATTGTATGGGAAATGCTTTCTTTATTTATACATTGTAGCAAATTTTCAGGAAATAACAGAAAATTAAGATATTTAGAGATTGTAGATGGATTTTTATTTTACTTCTAAAAACCTTTTTTTGCTAAGCTAAATTTTCATGTATGTGAAAATAGTCTTATACAGATGTTGCCCTTATTAAAATGGATTATAAAAGGTTCCCCAAATGAAAATTTTCACTAATATCTTTAATAGCCATTTCCATAACAATACTTTATTAATTGTAGTTGTTAATAAAATAGTTTTTATTTGCATTCAAAAAATCTATTTATTGCTTAAATACATTCTGAAATTACATTTTTGTTTCCTTCTCATAGAGATAGCAAATCAAATAAGCTCCCAGCTTTAGACTTGAGGCAAACAATTAAAAACATAGATTTAAAGTAGGAAATAGCTCTGGAAATTGCCTGATGGGCTTGGCTTATTTTCATCTTGGCACTACTACTAAACCTTGTATGATTGTACTTTATTTTGAGAAGTAAAAACCCAAAACCAAACCAAGAACAGAAAACCCATCACAATCTCTACCATCACCAAAAATGCTGTTGCAGTTTTGTGTGAAGGTATGCACATGACATACATAAAATAGTGGAATTTTTTTTTATTTGGCTGAGGCCTTTTTGGGGAGGGGCAGAAAGGGGGCAGGGGCATGTGTGGGGGCAACTACAAAAAACAAAGAAACGGCAGTTGGCGTAAAAGACAGACTTTCTCTGAAAATAATTACTGAAGAAAGCAACTTTTGAAACAACTTGTGAAATGGAAGGTTGTTTTAACTCTTTTTAAAATGCAAAATGCTTTAAGTGAAAACAGAACATGTTAATAACGATAATTTAATATCCAACACACTGTATTTTTGGAGCAGTAAACTCCCCAGTAATTTAAAATATTTCTTCCTTCAAGATTAGCATTATTTTAAATAAAAACTTGAACGTGTCTGATTTAGGACCTAAGCATGAAAAACCTTCCAAAAATTGTGGATGTTCCCATTAACTGTTATTTAAATGTTGTCAATCAAATCTGTTTGCATCTGGCACTGATGCCGTGTGAAATTTATTTGTTTAAACTTTCAGTCACACATGGAAAGTTTTGCAGATGGTGTCTCTTCTCATCTGCTTTTTCCAATTTTCCCCCTAAATTCCAGTTCTTACTCTCTCGACCCCCCAATTTGATTTCTCCTCCTTCTAAAAAAAAATAGATCTAATCAGTAGCATGTTAAACAAGAGGGGATCTTTTATGTATTCTGTGTTAGGACAAGGAAAGCATCGCTGTAGATCACTAGAATAAACAACTCAGGCTGATTCAATTACAATGCCTGGGCCAGGCTTTTATCTGCTGGTGACATCATTTCAATCAAAATGTAAAATAATACAATCCAATAGATGCAAGAGGGAGAGATAGGACACAGACTGCTGCACTTAGTCATTTAATAAAAAAAGTGGAAGAAAGCTCTTTCTGACAGGCTGCTAGGACTTCCATTTCCAAAACTCTATTACCTGGTATAATAGTATTCAAAAGAATTGAATGCAGGAAATTGTCTATTACTTTTTATTAGTAGAAGCTGTTATGTAGGATACAGCCTACTGCACTGTTTTTTCTTTGTTCCTTTAATTAACAAGAGCATGAAATCCTTCTATTGGCAAGCACTTGTTCCAAATCTTCTGTTGCCTTCAGTTTTTACTGAAAAGGTAGGGTTTTGTTCTTTTCTCTTCTCTGAATGTCTCTTTTTTTTATACTAAAAAAGTAATTTTTTTCAAGTCACTGTAATCTAAAGTCTATCAGTTACCTTAATGGGCTCTGGAGAGGGTAGAATGCAGATACATTTCCATAGTCGCAGAACATTTTTATAAGAAAGTTTCACATTTAAGGAGAGAGTGAGATTCAGATTGCAACCATGTGTAGTCTAGTTCCAGTCTTCTGACCATTTCATTGGCTATTGTTGCTTAATTTATTATGACAGAAAAAGAGATAAATTGGTACACACCAATTTGATAGATGCACAGTGCAAAGGAACATATTCTTTCTTCTAAATCCTTTAGGACTTTCTGTGACAACATAGGATAGCGCTTTGTAAATATCATCAATCTGGCCATCCTACACAATTCTCTCAAATTTTACTGTGAGTAAAACTGGTAGTCCTGATTCCAGTGAGATGTTTCACTTACTTCTACATTCCTATCTACAGTATACCAAAACGCAGATATGAGGGGTAGAACTCTCACTTATTGGAGAGAACGTATTTCGTTGATTTTAGTAGTTATTTAAATACATAATTTCGATTCACTGCAGTTAGGTTCATAAAGGTCTGAACTAACTTTAAGAGTAACTTCTATAGCTAAATTGTGACATTGAGTACTGAACAGGATCTTGCCAAGAGAAAACAATTTCTACTACAGCTGTCACTGAAACACTCTTCCTATGATGCTCACTGTTTTAAGGTGCATTATGAAGAAGTAGACTGAGTCATCTGCAGGTGTTGTGGAAGATGTTACTCCATAAATGAATTTTATCAATGTTGTCTTTGCTAATGCAATTGTTACCTCTTCTTACTTTGTATTTATAAGTAGCAAATAGACCTCGGGTAGCTGAGGTCCTTGGTGGTCTTGAAAGACATTGACTTTATGTCTTCTCTTGCTAAGAATGAGATTTTTGCCATTCTGGATAGCATTATTATTCCAAGCATGTGGTAAGCTTTTTCTGATGGTTTATGAAAAGGATACATATGATGATGAAGTAGTAGACCACTACATTGGGAATGAACTAGCAACAGCTATAATCACAGAATAATTTTAATCCTCCCTTTCACAACCATCAAGTGTGTTTAATAATTTTTCATATTTGTATTTGATATGATGTGTTTTGTTTTTTTTTACAGTGCCTGCAATGCTTACCAGCATTCTCCTGCTGCTGCAGTGGGCTTAAACCATAGCAAGGTTTCAGTCGTGGTCAGGATCAGACATCCCAAGTTGGACACAGAGCACCTGAATGAACACAGACCTAAGGTCCTAGCAAACATAGTTTAAAACATATAAACTAGTTATCTAACTCCCTATCTGCCTAGGCAATTAAGAGATAAGAACTCGAAGAGTGAAGAATGGTTAAATCTGGATGTTGGCCTATGTGGAACAAGGGCACAGGGAGCATTACTGCTCCTGTAATTTGGATACCCCAGCAGAGGCTGCATAAGCTGAACCTGGATATTGAGCTACTCAGCCCATCTTTCATTTTCTGACACTGCCCTCATCTTTTCAGGTAAGAGGAAAAGTGAACCAGTCCTAAGCCTAATCAATATTCCAGGGGTCCTTCCTGGAAAAGTGAGAGCTATGGATTTCAGCTCCTTCAGGCTGCAGGAGTAACCCTTAGCTTTTAGCTGAGTGAGTTTTCTGGTACTCCATTTCTGGAAAAGAAAGGTATTTTGCCATGTGTGTGACTGAGCACTGGACTAGACTGAATTCATCATTGTCCAAGTGTCTTGAGGGAAGGTCTGTGTGTGCATGAGGGAACAGAGACAGTTACATGTGTCTTCAGCCATCTCCCATCCCCTCATAGATTAAGATATGTGTTAGGATTACCTTAGAAAAAGGTAATGCATTTGCATGACTGCCATCCAAAATGGAAATAGGAGTTGACTGCAGGCACCCCTGGATATTGTGCTGGAGAGCAGACATTTGTCAGAGATTCATTGAGTCTTCATCTCAGTTCAGGTGGAACTCATATGATCTGCATCTTACAGCACAGTTCAAACCTAAAAAATGTATGCATGTCAATTCCCTGACTTGGATCTGGACCTTTTCCGACAACATATCTGACATGTTCAACACAAATTGCTTTTCTGACCTTACGTAGGCATGAAAACTCCCTCTCTATCCTGACCAAAGTCCTCACTTAAACATATGTAGCTGAGACCCTTTAAAGTCATCTTTCCTCACAGGAAATAAGCTAGGAAGAGAAGAACTGGCAGAATTTAACAAATTAAATCCAGAACTAGCCTAATGTAAAATGTTTTTGTGTGTGCTGCGGTTACAGTTCCTCCCTGGATGAAAGTAGAATGTCTCATGTACCTTAAGAGTTGAGCCATGTAGTCTTTTTGGAAACATGTCTTTAGTCACTATCTACAAATGCTAAGTTTATAATAGAAAAAATGTTTTATTAAAATTTCCAAAGACCCCTAATACATTAGGAACATGAATTTAAAAAAAAATAAATGAGGCAGTACTTGTTGGTCCTGATTCTCCAGCAATTCTAGTTGGAACCAAGGCACAAAAAGGTTGCATTTTCTGCTGGGTGCTTCTCTAAGTTCTCCTGCTGTGTTACTGTGCTTTCCAGTTTGTACATCTCTGCCCAACTCTTATGAATTTTAGTCCCATTTTCCAGCCCCACTTGATCTACCCCTTCCTCCCTGGAGTCAATTCTTGATTTACTGCTTTTAGCCTGATGTTTTTGTTCTCTTGCAATTTCTTGACTCCCCAAGCTCTGTTCCATTTTAATTACAGGGATATTCTCTCCTGAAACCTGAAGGTTATGGAGTCTATCCTAGCTGGTGATTGTTTCAAGGTCTACCCTGAAATTACATCTTTCTTTTCCTTTTTTTTTTTTTTTAATAGGCATTATTTTTCCATATCTAGCTGTCAATATGTTTTGAAAATACTTGAAGTAATTTATATGACTTAAAAAACCAAACATGTTGTAAAGAATGTTATTGTTATCTAATAAAACTTAGTTTTGTATTCTAGCTCTTAATAGTTCTAAGTAATTCTGTAGTTACAATTAAATTCATCTGATAAAAAAACTATACAGAAATTTGGATAATTAACTGTTATATTTGTATATTTCTACCTTGTTTTATACTTTTTACTTTATAAAAGAATAATATTGTTCCAAAAATATAATAAAATAATAAAAATAAATATTCTTAAAATTAAAAATAATAACAAGTAATAAATAAAATTTTGACAAAATAGCAGACCCCTGATTCTTATGAAGGCAAGCTGATCATCATATCTACTCACCTTATTTCATGTTTAGATGTCTTGGAATTCCTGTATTTTTCAGTACAGGATGATATACTGTTTTATGGGTGTAATATTATCTACAAAATATATCAGTCTTTTCTCAAAATTTGACTTTCGGAAATAGGTTTGCAAAGTGTTAATCTTATATAAGCAAGGAGAAGGGAAGTGCAGGATTTGGGCATTGTTTTACACCTCAACACAGACCATTAGTCTTCATGTCAATTAGGATATTTTATATTGTGTTATGTTTTTAGAGGTTATAAGGCTCCAATTGTTGGCCCTCATTTCACCATAATGTTAACCTAAGTCATTCTTTGTTGCACATGCATGTTTGGTGAGCAGGCTGTATGGCCAAAAAGATTTATCAGAGAAAGCTTACACAGAAATGTACTTTGTTTTGTGACATGCTGTTCGTGCTGTATAGAGTGCACCTGTTCCTCCAGGTACAGATCTGCTGTTTAATGTGTGTACTGCAATTGAGGAGGTTTGCATAAAACTTCCCAACTGTCCAAACATGAATGGACCTAAAGAAGGACTTAGGATTAATTTGAGCCTGTGGATCGAAATCTGAGACAAACATCTGAGACTGTGAACTGCAGCTCATCTCCTGAATGTTGGCTCCCAGGCATCTTAGCTCCTTTTCTTCAATCAGAATTGTCCCAGGTTTGATCAATAAGAGCAGTTTAGACCATCTGGAAGCAATAAAGTAGATCTTCTATCAAATTCTGAATCCTTTAAAAATCTTACTCCAGGAAGTGTTTGGAGATGGTATTGGATAGTGATTATTGGGATAAGACTCTTCTGAAAACACAGGGAAAGCAAGTAACTTTATTGGCATTTGGCTGGAGAAGTTCACAGTTAGCAAAGCAGTTTCTGAGCATGCTCAGGTCAGTAGAAGGTGGGATTGGAAGCCCTTCACTGCGGATGGGGCTGTCTCCAGAAACAGGCAAGGCAAGGAGTTGTGTAGAGCAGCAACATGACTGTACCTGCGTTGGTTGCTGTTGCTGCTGCTGCAGAAAGGGTGAGTGTGATGGGGCAGGCTCTGTTCCTGGATGGGATTCACACCCAGCCAGTGCTGCAATGTCACATCAGTGCAGACAGGAGAAGATCTGTGACCTCTCCATTGTCCTACTCAGTCTGATGCCACTCCTCCTCCCTGCATCCTTACCCATGGCAAGGGCGTCTCTCACCCATGGTAGTGTTCAGAAGGCAAAATTCAATTTTGCTGACATTACTGAGAAGCCTGAGCCAGCTCTGGCTGCCTGAAAGACTTCAAATCTTCTACAATTCTGCCTGCAGAGGGGCTGAACTGGAATGATTTTTCTCCTTTCCTGTTATAACTGAACTGCTGTGTGTAGAGTAGTTTGAGAGAAAGACATTTTACAGCCTAGTGGTTACAGTGTTCACCTGGGAGGGGAAGGTGTGAGATCCATTTGTTGTGCAAAGGTCTGTTTATTAAGTGGCCAAAGGAAAAAAAAAAAAAGAGAAAGAAAGAGGAGATAAAATGAAAGAGATAATAACAAACAGCAGAAGAGGTCATAATGAAGGAGAATTTGATTCATCAAGTCCTGTTGAAATGGTTAGTTTTCGATAATTCCCTGTGAAAAGGAGGCTTTAAAGAGATTTTGATGGCAAATTCAGTCCCTTCCTGTTTTCCACCCTCATCATTAATTTCTTACAAGGACAACTGGTCTTAAATATGCATTCTTCCTTCTCTAAGCTGTTCCAGATGGGAAATGGCATAGTTTAGAGAGGAGCTGGATCAATAATCTTCCTAAATAGAAGAATGCTTAGTCAGAGAGCCACATTTTGTAAGGTTTCCTCTGTGTCATTGAAGCTGCCCAGTATTAGAATATGGCTCAGAGCTTTAGTGGGAAGTTCAGCTGAAACACCAAGGTGTCTGGGTTGTTGTTAACATGGGGTAAAAGCATTGTGGCAGCAATGGAAGTGCCTGTTGTTACTGTCTTTGCATTTGAAATGTACCTATCCATAATTAACAAATATCTTGATTATGACATATTAGTTTCCACTATGTTGAGATTATTTAAATTATTTCAAGCATCACCCAGGCAAGTAATTAAAGTTTTTAAATCAATTGCAACATGTGTAACATCTATATTAGATGACTTTGACTTGGTAAGACTAATGCCAGAATGATCAATAATGGCATGACTAAAGGACATTTATCCTACCGTTCCACATATGGAGAGATCTGCAAGCACCACAAAATAAACTGCTTGCCACTTTATCTGCTGGTGCTGTTAAGGGGGACTGAAACCCTGCATGAAACTGGATCTGTCCCTTGGCAGTGATCCCAGTTAAGTAGGCATGTCATTTATCAATGTGCCAATAACATAATTTCTGTGATATTTTTTCCTCCACGAATTTTGCATTGATAAAAGACTTCTTCAGCCAATAATCTTGCTTATTATATCATACAATGAAACTGCCTCTGCTTTATTCTCCACTTCTTTCCTTGCACAGCTGGGAATACTAGAACAGATCAATGAAGAATTAACCATTTGCTTGACTTTGTTAAAGGAAAAAGTACTACTGCCATATTTTACCTACACTGAAATTAGCAAAATCTAATTTCTGTTTTGCAGAGACAGTTTGGTGACATGTTAGGAGAGGAAACACCTAACGCGCTCTAATGGCTGGTGCCCAGCCGGACTCAAGCTTCCTTAAACATCAATGTGAGACCTTTGTTTCAGCTTTGACCAGCAGATGGGCCTGAGTTTACAAAGTTAAGTCAGTTTAGATTCCATATTCTTATTTGATACTCCATTGCTCATTATAATCAATTAAAAATAGGAGCTTTCTGGGACTTGATTTAGACCTACAGGTTTTTGGGTCTTTTCCACATAGTTTTCTGTAGTGGAAATGGTAAAAGCATGCTGCTTTTTCTCATTCCACTTCTTCGCCGAAGCTGCTTAAGAAAATGAGATACAACAAATCCATTTAGGATTATGTTGGAAAAGCATCTCTGCTTTTAATATTAACCAGATTTTTACTGCTAAGTTTTGCTGGCAAATCTCTGAAAGTTTCAGCTTGCAACTTATCCGGATCATTTAAATCTACAACACTGGCTTTGCAGTCTTGCAAGAACATCTGTTTTGATTTCCAAAGCTATCTTTTTTAGCCCTGGAACACTCTTCTTTAGTGTTGTAGGAGATTTTTTTCGGAATCTTAAAGGGCCTTAGTTATAGCTCCGAAACATAATGAAAATCAGGATGAAGTACCTCAGAGTAATGTTTCTTGTGCCGGTCATTTCACTGAATATATTCAGTGTAAATGGACAAAGAAACAGCTGGATGTCCACATCACACTTTCTTTTCTATGACTTCAGTGAAACCTGGCAATACAGTACCATTGTGTGCTACACCTCTTATTGTGCTCTAATTGAGGCATAGTTTGTATTTATATATATCTTTATATTTATTAATTAATGACTATTAATATGTCTAGTAACGTGATGTTGATTTTCTTTGATGGCAAATGCAAGTATTTCATGGGGGAAGTATTGGTCTGAGTCCAAATTTTTAAAAATTATTTTATCATTTTCAAAATTAAATTCCTGAAAAATATTGATATACTGCAACCAGACAGTGTATCATGTAGAGAAAGGACCAGTTACACATATGTTCCTTACATTAATTCAGCATTCTAAATGCAAGAATTAATAATGATATTGTGTACACCTGCAAATGAAAATCAAAACAGATTATGATTTTGATAACTCTGCTTCTCACTAAAACTTGGAACAAGTGCTCCTACTGAAAATAACTCACTAGCTGCTAACTTGTGTTCTCAAAAGCTTCACAGCTTAGCAGAAAAATATTGATTACTTGGCATTCCATATCAGTTCCAAATAACTATTCCTTAATCATGCTTTTTTATACTTCAGTATTTATATACATTAATTTCTTAGTTCATATATGCACAGATTTCATCACTCTACTGGCTAAAACCTTTATCGTCTGACACACATCTCATGTACATTAACACAAATACCATATTATTGTTGATAGGATTTTATCCCAATCTTCTATCAAATTGTTTGCTAACATAAATCTGTCATTTTTGTATATGCATACCAAAAAATAATTATGTCTTTATTCCACAGTTTATACCAGATTGATGTGTAGTGCCCTAAATCTCAAATACATTTCTGGGTGAAAACCAAGTTTTTATAGGCATTGTTTAATTTGTACATTTATTAACAGAACTTCTAGTTAAATTCTAATGGAATTTGTCTTGTCATAATTGCAATGTAACATACTTGGAATATATTATTAATTTTTTTTAGTGCAACTCATTAAAAATAAATGCTTTATTTAATTCCTTCTAAATGTCTTTCTCCTTTATTTTTATGGGTAGGATAATTTCTAAAAAAAATACTATTTTGAAAACAAAAGTTGAATAAATTTTTTCACTCTTCAAAGTAGAGAAAAAAACCCACTTTTGTCACACTTAAAAGTTAATATATTAAAAATGTTGGCATGAAATAAAATTGCATTTTAAAATATCTCCTTTCTCCCTTTTATAATAGTATTTGCCAAATTTTCCTAGAGCTTGTGAAGAGCTTTATTCCTGGGAATTTGTTCTGTGGAAAAATATAAGTATCTATGTTTTAATATTTTCCCAGTTCCAATTCCAAGAGTTCACAGGAAATAAAAATTATTTTTAGTTAATATTAGATACTGAAAATGGTATTAGGAGTTGATGATTGTGTAAATTATGATGAAAGACATTAACCTTTCTTTAATATAAAGCATCTATGTAGCAATTTGGTAGTTTTCCAATATACTCATAAACTGTAATTATCTACTGACAAATTTGAAGGAGTATTCATTATTTGTGACTTCATGTATTTGTTATTTCCTACTCTTAGAGCTCATATAAGTCACAAGAAATCATTGTCCAATTTCCAGCTTCTAGTCAGCAAAATAAAAGAAACAGGTTAATGAAATGCAAATAAGGAATGATAAATTTTTTTAGTTGAATACACAAAATTTCACAATATGCATGAAAACTTGTTGAACTCATGAACCAACTGCAAAAAAATATCCCAATCTTCTCTAATTTGGCCTGATTCTGCATTTCAATTATTCCACTACTTTTATGCACTCCTTGTGCTGATTTACCAGCTTATGATAATTCTGTGGATTTTGTAATGCACCTTATGAGTCCTTGTTAACATAAGGTGGAAAAAAATGTATTCAAAATTATTTATGTAGATCACTGACCACTCCACAATTCTATCTACTTCCATGAGCCTTTAATTGTGCTGTGCTGCTTGTGTATTTAAATGTCTCACACTATGTCTCTTTTATTGAGGTTAGTGTTTATTTGTATGACTAAGTGCAAGGGTGGATGGGTAAAATGAAAGAGAAAGGTGGGATCGTGTTTTCCTCTTCTGTCTCTCTCTTTCTCTCTCTCACTCTCCCCCTCTTTTCTAAACAAGCTAAGAGTTTTTATAATTCATCACCTGGCTGACAGATGAGTTCTGCTGGAGAATATTAGAAAATGTCTCAAATCTCATATATATGCTAATGGTATGCTGAGACTGGTTGGTGGTATGCCGGAGTTTTTAATCTGTCTCGACCAGTGTGGAAAGTGGAGGAGACAAGTCATTGCACTCGACAATTTATGATCAAACAACTGAATTGTAAAGGAAGAAGGACATGCAGAAAAGGAGAGTAATTTTCTGATTTAACAGCGTTGTTACTACAAATAAAGAAATCTTGATTTTGACTGCACTCGACATTAAATGAGTTTCCTGTGCCCTGCTCTGAATTTTTCATTTTCAGATTTGTATAAAGCACCCTGCTTAGATACAAGTGACAGATAAGGAGACGATTGCATATGGAAATCAAATGTGTATAATAAAGCCATCTTCTGTTTATTAAATAAACACATGTAGATGACTTCCGTGGAGAATGCACTGATAATTCTTCATTGTGTTCTAGTTTTTTTGCAAGTCACAAAGAATCTTATTTAACAACCATGAATGACTAGATGCAAGCTTTTCTGTTTATTACCTTATAACAAACCAGGCAGTCTAATATATGGCATTTATAAACATTTTATTTTGATTCTTTAGTCCAAGTTTTAGCTGTAACAGTACAATACATTAGTGTTCATGCTATTAGAGTTCTGGAAGCTGCATGAATGCATTAGTATTTTCTGAATATGATGTTTTCATGATAGAAATTGTAAAGATTAGAAAGATAATATGTATATTATTGTAAAATGAAATTCCAGGAGAAGGGGAGTATAGCGTACAGCACTTCAGTCTCCACATAAAAAAAATTATAGCACCGAAACTAAGAAAAGACTATGGGGTCTGAAGTCAGCATAATGATTTCTGAGCCAGTGATTTAGTGGTCTAAGTTTCAGATGTAAAAACACTCAGAGTCCATCAAGGGCTTTGTTTCCAGTCTTATTTCTCACTCTTGGTTCTTTTTGCAGACATGGTTTTCCTATAAATTATTATAATCTATTGCAGTGTTGGGTAACATCTTGAATACTGGTGGTTTTTTCCCAGAAGAGGATTTTTCTATGGCAAACAAAATGTTTCTAGGCATTTAAAAGTAAAACAAAATACGCTGTTTTCACCTTCTATCTCTGCAGAGTTCTGTTCAAATTTAAAATTTGGTTCACATTTTTTTTTGAGAATAAAAAGAGACAAGGGGGAAAACCAGTAATGTCTAGACCCAAATGGACCATTTAGTGAAAATTACTGGCTACGTCAGAGAATATCTAAGTAGCTCACCCTGCCTGGACTGAGAGGGCCATTATATTAAGTCCTCCCCTGTATTTATCAATATCTGCAGATTCATTAGGAAGGTTTTAGACTCTTGGTATATTTTTCTCAAATTATCAACAGAATAGCCCTGTCTATTTTTTCATGCTTGAACTCTGTTTTGGTGTTTTAGTTCTGAAAAAGAAGAAACTCAACCAAACTCATATCCCAAAGGCAAAGCATGCCCACCTTCTTCCAGGTATTTACTGCTGGATGAGTGAGGAATTGTGAAATTCTGGTTCAGACTTCCAAAGCACCAGGCAGCTTCTCTGCCTGGGGTGACTGGAATGTGAGCTTTGGCCTAAGTGCATCAGAAAATCCGCACGAATTTCTTACTATGATTGGAAATGATTGCTGTGCATGGGAGTGCACAACCAGTTCAAACAAGACTAGATAAGCTGTGTTGCAAAGCCATATGGCTTAGTTTAAAAAGCACAGGGAGGAAGTCTTTGATCATGGCCTTTGATCAGAGTTAACCCTAAATGAAGTGGTGGGCTAATGTAGGTAAGAAGGTGTCAGAATCAAAGCAACTAGAGCCTGGTATGAGTCTAGTAAAAGAATTTTGGGCTGGACACTGGTATGCAGATGGTTTGTTCAATTTTAAACTAAGGTAAGGAAGAAAAAGATGTAGCAGCTTGGGCACCAGTGGAGAAGACCAAAATATGGCAGAAACCATGAAGATGACTGGATGCAGAAGCTGTAAGTGTACGTTATCCTTCAGTGAGTTTCTGACAGAATTTACATATGCATGAAGGGTCATCTCATAATGTTCAGGTAAAAAAAAATGTGAGAGATTGAAATGCAGCTAGAAATGAGGGTAGAATACAGAAATGTGTTTGAATATGACAGATAAGATGAAAGGAAAAAGCATGAACATAACTGTAGTTGCAGATGAGTTGATTGGCAGATCCCCAGATGAAAAGGAGACCTCTGGAAATATATTAAAATGAAGACAAGGCAGAGGAAAATACCAGAATGTGAAGGAAATATTTTGAAGGAGTTTGGTCTATGGAAAGAGTTTGTTCTGCGAAAGGAGTGATGAGGTGCAACCTTTAGAGACAGAATATTGAGCAGCAAGAAGGAAGAGATTGAATAAATGGTAACAGCCGGGGCTAGTGGCTGAAGAAGAAGAGAAGGCAACAGATAAGCAGAAAGAAAAAAGGAAGAAAGATGGCCAAAGTTTCACAGGAACATAAGGCTGCCCTGAAAGATGACTTTTTGGATAAGAAATATGAAGACACTGGCCATCAAAGTGGATGGAAATGCAAAAGAGTTTTGTGTGAAATCTGTAAATCTGTCCAGGCATAATGCTGTGAGGGACTGGCAGAGTGTGAAAGTCATTCTAAACAGGTTGGGGCAGAATCCTTCCACTGTCAGCTCACTATTCGACTGTCAGAATAAGAAACTGGCTTGAGCAGCTCAAAGAGTTGTGCTAGATGGGCGAAGATGTTCAAAGAGGTTTCCTGGAATTCTTCTATTTTCTAGACCTAGAGGGCAAATATCTAGGAAGATAATGTGCATCAACAGACTGGTGAAAGCATCAATGCAGAGATATTTGCTTAGTTTAGTACCAAAGCAACCTTCTTGACTTTTTGCTAATCTGACTGATAAGAAAATGGACAGTAGAGAGGAAGTAAATGCTATTAGGATAATAGCAAAGTGGGTAGTTAAAAATAAGAGTGCTTAATTTGGATAGAGAGATTTAACTGGAAACTGCCTCAATAATTCATAGGGACTGCACAACAAAGTGGAGGAAGTCAAACAGAGAGTCAGATGTGAAAAAACATTATAAGAAAAGCAAAATGGAATAGCTGTTATCAGTACGAGAGATGGAAGGAGCTTAACTATTCAGGAACTGGTCTGGCACACTTTGTAATGTAATGGCCTCTAAAGAAGTTAGAGGAGAGAGTGGGAATGAGTTGAAATCTGAATGGAAACTTTTTAGGGAAGACAATAAAATAAATTGTGCTGTGAACATGCTGAACATCAGAAACTGAACTCCAATGTCTCAAAATAATAAAAATCTCTGTTGTCTCCACAGAGGATGTAATCTTCCTAAGATTTTTTTTTAACTTCACCAGGGCAGCATGAAGTGTAAATGTCAAAAATAATGCTGACACTCAAAAGCAAAGTAGACTTCTTCAGTAAACAGTCATTGAGCTAGTAAAGGGGAATGTTACTTTAACTTGGGTTTTAGACAAAAAGATGTTTTGCAAGGCAGTACATTCTCTCCCCTTTTCCTTCATCCTCATCCCCTCTAGTTATTCTCACTATTCAGCTTGTTGTTGGCACAGCTCAGGACCCAGGACACAGGGAACATCTCATTGCTTTTTTTTAATCCTGGTTATGGAGGAGGCAATAATACTAAAAGGCATTTAAGCAGCATTTTAGGAGGCTTGATCCATGTGCTTTTGTAGAAAATTCATGTGTTCAAGCAGGTATACAATAGCATTTTATCAATAAAGTGCTTCTCAACCGGAGACTTGCAAGTTG